AAATTAGATCTTCTACCTAACATGCACGCACCAAACTCACACTGGAAAAAAAAAAAAAAGTTATTCCTAGCAATAGAAAGCAATACCTATAGGCACATTTTAGTATGGTAAGAGATCATTTTAAAACATAAATTTATAATATGCAAATACTTATATGTTATAAAATAGTAAACTTCACACAAATCACAAAGTAAACCAAGTGATCTCTCTTAAAGGTACCGTATAAACCAAACTGCTTAATGGAGTGGTTGGGGCGGGGGGGAATATTCTTTTTGCTTTCTGCGTGGACTGCATTCATTGCTGGACTATGGCCCGAGGCAGAGCATTCATGTTCAGTTGTTCACCAGAAAATAAAACAACTGAAAAGAAGAGATGCATGTTGTGTGTCAGAGGGAAGAAGTTTTATGATAACATTTTTGCCCCTTTTTGAGCTAGGGCAAACCCCGTTCACTTATCTGGACTAGGATGTCAGCAGTAACAGGTAGGTCCTGTAGATTATGCCGTAGCAACTGTAGTGGGAGTGGCATGTCCTGCAAAGATTGGTAAATCTCTTAAGCTGGTCTTGCTCTGGGAGCTAGAACCTGTTAGATTTGAACCTGTCAGATGTTATCCTGCGCTGTGTCCTGACTTTGGTACATACAGCTGAAGTGAGGCAGTACTAATTAGATAAACAAGTCTTGAATTCTAACATGGTGCTGACACAAACATAAGGCAAACAACCAGAAATATGTGAAAACAACTTCAAAGCAGAATTGAAACAATGTAAGTAGGCAACAAGAGCATTGATATTACTGAGCCCAAAGCAATACTTAATTAGCTAGCTTTATTTTTTCCTTGGGCTCTATTTCAGAATAAATTCAGGCTTCAGTAAGAACTTGAAATGAACCATTGATTTAATTCTCTGGAGTCTGGAGGAAAAAGGAGACTTAATTTAAAGACAGGAATTTAACACAGATGAAATATGGCCTTTCTGTGTAGAAAAAGAACATAGTCGGGTACAGTGCAACAGTACGGGGTCAGATTTCAAATGAACCCCTTGCATGTGAGTTAGGATGTAAACATTTCAACCTGACCCTGACTCAGGTAGAATCACAGCTGCAGTTTTCTGGGAGGAGGTTGGTACTGCTGTGACCTCCTGCTTCCAGCTGTGGTCTGCTGAGCGGTACAGCAAAAGCCAGTGGTACGGCCCTGGTCCTGGGCAGGGTGGGCTCACTCATGCACTTCTTTGGCCTCTGCCTGGCTCTGCTGGGCTCCGTGGGCTTGGCCCGGGTGGAAATAAGAGCAAATTTGAGCCTATTCTCAATAACACTTGCCTTCAGAAATAGCAAGAGGACTATAATCCTACCACTGCATCTAACCATCTACATGTATTTTATACGGTGATTACAGTTTGGAAGTAGGTATATGCACGCAGGCATTAACAGTTACATTTCTGATTTCTGCATGGAGATATTATTTGTTACCCATGTGCTATAAGTACAAATAAAAGAGTAATCTTCTTTGTGCTTTGTATATACATGCGATTTGCATTTCCTGTGCTTTGAGCAGTTGAATACTTGGCATTTCTGTCTCAAACATAAAACTGTAAGTAATGGTGTTTTGAATTCTGTGGATTGAAAACAATAAGCTGTTATCAAAAGCCCATTTGGAGAAGTGCAATTTTCTGATTTTAGAAGCCAGGAAAACCCAATCCTGGCCCCACTGCAGTGACAAATATGCACTTAGCTCAGTGTACTTTCTGTGGGAGTTAAACTGTATAATAACCTTACAATTATGATCTTTGAAGATGTTCTGCATTAAGCGTTTAGAATGGTGGAAGGAAACATTAATTCATAGAGGGGCGTGTGTCTCTCTTTATACACATATATCTCCATGGATGAAGAGCTTATTTGTGTCAGGAAGCTTTCCAAATGATGGTAGTATTATGTGAACTGAGGTTCTTTCCAAAAGCTGAGATACTGGCAGAATTGAGCCCAGCTGGATGCTGGTAACTTCTCTCTAGTTTTCTAGAAGTTCTCTTGTTAGCTTGTTATTCATTATATACTCTAGAATTGCTTTGTATTATGAATAGTGAAAACACTGTAAATCTAGGGAATATTTCAAAAATTGATGTATTACATCAGCTGATGGCCAGCTTACGTGTTGGTCGACAACAGGCTGAATATGAGCCTGCAGAAGGCCAACAGCATCCTGAAGGCAAAAAGAACACTGGTTTCAGCAGGACTAGAAGGGCAACAAAGCTGGTGAAGGGTCTAGAGCACAAGTCTTACGAGGAGCGGCTGAGGGAGCTGCGGTTGTTTAGCCTGGAGAAAAGGAGGCTGAGGGGAGACCTTATTGCTCTCCACAACTACCTGAAGGGAGGTTGTAGTGAGGTGGGGGTCGGTCTCTTTTCCCAAGTAACAAGCAATAGAACAAGAGGAAACGCCTCAAGTTGCACCAGGGGAGGTTTAGATTAGATATTAGGAAAAATTTCTTCACAGAAACGTAGTCAAGCATTGGAAGGCTCCCTAGGGAAGTGGTTGAGTCCCCGTCCCTGGAGGTGTTTAAAAGATGGGTAGATGTGGCGCTTAGGGACATGGTTTAGTGGTGGACTTGGGAGTCCTAGGTTAGCAGTTGGACTTGATGATCTTAAAGGTCTTTTCCAACCTAAACGATTCTATGATTCTAAGTGAGGAGAACTGGGAAATGAAATCTGTTGTTTTTCAATCATCTGTTAAATTTAGTGATGGAAAACCATCAGTCTGTGATGGTAATTGGTGGCCTGTGTAAAATGGATCTTAGTCCGTTGCTCAGGATCTCACTCCGCAGAGACCTCATGGCAAAACAAAGAAATAAAAATCTGCTCCCTCTTGTTGCAGACAGTTTGAACAGCGAGGTCAGGGGCTGCAGACAGGAATGTGAACGGTGCACTTGCTGCATGAGGCAGTTTCTCAGGCCAGGAGTCCACCCTGGTGCGCATCAGCTGGCCTTATTCCTGCTGGCCCCCTCGTGTTCTCTCTCTCACAGGAGAAGATGATTTCTGTCTCTAGGAAGTGTTTCAAAAGCACCAAATCTTTATGCTTACATTAAAAAAAATACATGGGAAACAACATAAAAAAACCTCCAAACCAGAAGTGTAGTCTCTATATATTAAACGTACAGCTTGTAGTTCTGCAAGTGTATTATTCTTTTAAGGAGGAACCTTCCTTTTATTGCACTGAGGTTCACATATATCCTGGTGTTATGTCTTTTGCAGTCTGGCATAATATTGCATAGAACAACAACAACAAGTCTATTTCCCTGTAACGTGAATTCACAAATGGCAGTGGTTCAGTGTGTTTCCTTTGTAGATGTTAGCACCTTTGAGAACTTTCCATATTGAAAACTCTTTAATTTCAAATGCTAGCAAATGCTATTTATTAAAAGCGTGTATTTTATGAAGACTCACATGTCATATAATGTGTTCTAGATTTTTGCAGATGTGACTTATTACTATAGAGCCATTAAAATTGAATAGTCTATGAACTATGATTTAACATCACTTTCTTTTGTCATACTTTATCAATCAAAATACCTCAGAATCTGGTTTTATCATTAATTTGCTCCTAATAGTAGTCTTTGTACTTGATCATTTTCAATGTTTAATACAGTTCATATCATGTAATTTAAAAGTAGTTTTATCACTATTTTAAAAAATAATAATTCTTTTATTAGAATTTTCTTTCTCCTGGTTTTTAACAATCTAAAATTGATGTACTGCAATGCTCTTCTGGGAAATACGCCAACAACTGTGGGTTGTAGTTTCAGGATGCCTGTTCATAGTTCATATGCACTCTCAAGTGTTTGTTGTAGGGAGTACAGTCCTGTTTTCAGAATTCTTGGTAGCACAGCATTGGCCTGATACACAGAGTGATGCTAAGGCAGAGTCTGGTAGCTGTAAACATAAAGTGCAACAGCCCATATTCAAAAATAACCAATCGCTCAAAATAGAACCTAGTTTTTCAAATCAATTCAATACTATTTAAAACTATGCCATAGGTTTCAAATGGGATATGAGCAGTTTTTAAGAGGTTGCTGTTATGTAGATATTGTACTTGCTTAGATGATAAAATTTGATTCTTGTTCAGAGTGACAACAGGTCACTCACACAATAATTTCTTATGTCCATTTTGTCAGGGTTGCTCGCACCAGAACCACTATACTGTCCCCGTCCCATCCCATGTTCTTTATAGGTGAGCTTGTTTTACTGCCAGCAGCTAGTATGGCTTGTGGTCACAAGGACTGCAGTTGAACAGCTTAAAATGCAGTGAGCCGTTGTAGACAGCACGTAGGCAAGGAGCATTTGAATACTGGCTCTGGCACAAAGTTCTTTAGGCACAGTTGGGACATTTAATCTCTTGCCTTGTGATCACCATCTGTAAAATGAAGTAGTACCTGCCTACCTGTCTCATAGGAGCACAGATGATTGACTCGTGCTTGTGAAGTGATACAGGAATGCACTGAATGCACGTCAGAGCCATCTGACCTCCAGATATATGGGGAATTGTTCTTGGAGAAAACTAAAAATACTGGCAGCTGTGTTCATGTGTGTAGTGTAGTACCATAATCAACTCTGTAACTGAAATGAGGTATATCATATGTCAAGATGGTTCTGGAGACTTTCAATGTCCTCCCAGTGACTTTGAGAAATGAGCCATTCCAAAGACAAATATATTGCTTTTCAGAAATATTTTTATAATCCCCAGTGCAAAGGCTCACATGTTTCTGAGCACTCTCCAGTCCTTAACCCTGGCTGCCTTTGGGCTTGCTTGGGCTCCTTTCAACTGGCCAAACCTGCAGCATGACAGCAACAATAGCTGGCATGAATTTGTTGAAGTCATTGCTATTCACTGGTAACCTTAAAAACAGAATTTAGGCCCCTGTTGTGTTAGGTTCACTAAAACCACCAGGACAATTACTGTATGATTTTTGTGTGTGTGTGTGTGCAGCATATTATGACGTATGTATTTTGCTTCTTTTAGAAGATAAAGGGAAAGCAAAACCCAATAATGCAAGTCAGCAGTCCAGTACAGAAGTGGGTCCTTTTCTTCCCAAACCTGGAGTGGCAGCAGTGGCCCCTGTAACACCTGCCTCATCCTCCAAGAGCACAAACGGAGCCCCTAACACAGTTTCTGAGTCAGAAGAGGAAAAAGCCAAAAAACTGCTTTACTGTTCATTATGCAAAGTGGCTGTGAATTCCCTGTCACAACTAGAAGCCCACAATACAGGTGAGTACTCATAGAGTGCAAGTCAGTTGTGTCTTACTTTTAAAATTATAATTTTTAAAAGTCAGTGTAACAAGCTGGTTTTCTGTCACTGTGGTGGACATGCTTCACTGAAGACTCTTTTAGTTAAAACTTAAAATGGCAAGTTACAAAAACATTTCTGTTAATGACAATTTCATGTGTGGTGTTTGATATTTTATTAAAGCACTCTCTAAATTTTTTTGAACTGTCCTTCATGTAATCTATAAACTTTTAGTTGACAAAGTCCCTACAGTTCATGTTACCTAATCAGAATCCATCAGACCTCCAAAGTGGGGATCATAGTATGATCGTAGTGATTTCTGTAACACGAAGGTTTCTAAAATGTCGGTTCTCTCTCTTTCATATTTCATCTCACAATCTCTAGTGTCTGGGTTTTTTGCTGGTACAACTTACAGTATTTTTTTTTATTTGATATTTTTGATAATTTTAGGGTGGGCTCCTTATATTTCCTAGATTTCCTAGAATCTTTTGATTATTGTGAATTAGATATGCTCCCTTTAAAAGGCCACAAGCAGCAATCCTGAATGTGCTCTGGCTGCTCTGTGGCGTGCTGGTGATGTAAAGCTTGTTAACAAACCATTGAAGCTGGTTTTACAGCTTGAATCCATTCTTGAAGTGGCCAAAGCAGCCATTTCTTCCAAATCAGAGGATAGTTATTGAAGTATTCCTGTTCCTAGGCAGGTTTTGAGTGATTGCTGTGGTTCATCTCCCACTCTTGGCTTGGCCCTTTTTCGTGATTCACCAGCTATTTGGATTTTGGCAGAAGAGTAAGCAACAAACACCTTGGCCATACAGCCACACATTGCCCCCAAACAGAGAAGCTGTGGTCCAGTGTGCCTGTTTTTCCCTTTTTGTACAAACCCTTCTTCCATTGTCTGACTTCCCTTTAGATCAAGGAAGCGGGAGCTACACTGACCAAAAGCAGAGTCGTCATTAATCCTGATCTGTGGTGACTTTAACCATTATGTCTTGCAGATAAATGTGTTACAAAAAGTCCCAAGACTAATGGATATGGTTATGTTGCTGATCATTAACTCACTTGCGTCTCCTTGCCCATTAGGCTCCAAGCACAAGACCATGGTCGAGGCTCGGAACGGTGCTGGTCCCATCAAATCTTACCCTAGACCTGGATCCCGGCTGAAGGTCCAGAATGGCAGTAAAGGCTCAGGACTGCAGAACAAGACATTTCATTGTGAAATCTGTGATGTCCATGTTAATTCAGAAATTCAACTTAAACAGGTAGCTTGGGGGCTTGTAACTGGGGCTCCTTTGTTGGTTTTAGTTGGATTGCAATATTATAGGTGGGATGTAGGTCTGTGGGAAGATGTTTTGGCAAAAGGTGAACTTAGTATTTCTTTTCTGTCATCCCACAACTATTTCTAAAGAGTTCACCATAGGTCAAGTTCACATAGTTGTTTCAGCTGGGAAAAAATGGCCTTGAGAGTGTAAAGCAGAGGTGGACAAGGTGTCAGTATCAATGAATAACATAGCAGATCTAGTTTAAAAGTTTGCTGTGGCTGAAGAGAGAGATTTGAACTTTGGTCTCCCAAATGGAAGAAATTCTGGGTTGAGATTCCCTGAATTCCTTTTTTGGTGCTGGGATACTTTTTAATATTATGTGAGAAGGAGAATGTGACTTGAATCTATTGGTTTAGAACAATCAGCAGGAGAGTAATACTGTAGATATGTCTGAATTTTGTAGAGCAACATTATCATTAACAGTGTTGCTGTATGAACATGCAGCTCTGCTCTGTCCGAATCAGTTAGGCCTGGGTTCAGAGCTCTGCCAGTACAAATACATTGTTTCTGATACCCAAACGGGAATCTCTAACTGGACGGTGCTGTGCTGTGCGGATGTGTCTTCTCATTCCCTGTTATTTCAGTGATCTCTAGGATAGTATTAAATTGCATGGTGCAGACATATCGCCGAGTACTGGTTCTTCCTTCAGCTAATATTGAATTATTTATACAACTGAACGGCACCAGCAGGACTGAAATTTACCTCCTACTTCTGAATATCCCTATGACCTAGTGATTACAGCTCTGCCTGGTTTAAAGCTTCTCAAGTGGAAAAAGGAAATTCTAACCAAAATATCTAATTTGCAGAGCCTGTCTCGGATCACAGAATTCGCTGTATTTGACTAGTTTCTGATTCTCTATTTCATGTGCTCCAAATTGTTATGTTTAATTTAGCAAAACTCATCTTTGCTCTCTCTAAAGAACCTGCTTTATCTTACAAACAGGGGCTTAGGCATATCCTGCTGATAAATCAATTTCAAACTCAAAACTGAGAAATGTTTAAACAGCTAATTAAATGTGAGGATATTTATTTCAGCACATTTCCAGCCGAAGGCATAAGGACAGAGTTGCAGGAAAGCCTATGAAACCTAAATATAGTCCTTACAACAAACTGCAGCGCAGCCCAAGTATTTTAGCAGTAAGTATTTTTATTTCTCATCACTGTCTATGTGAATTTGTGACCCTGGGAACTCCCACCGCACAGAGACGGGAACATGCCAGACCTGACACTTCGGCAACATTTCTCCCCCTGCAGGCTGAATCTGCACGGGGATCAGATTTGACGATAGTTATGTATTCTGTCTGCCCAAAGGCACGCAGACAGCACTGCAAGTGTTATTTACTGCTAGGAGGAAGGGAGTAATCAGTGGAATGGGGAATGAACCATGTGCCCTGTGGAAAGGTATCGGCTCTGCTGGGCTAGTGCACTTCTCCTTGAAGGCTGCAATGTATATACTCTGTCTTTCTGGGCACCTGAGATAACTCTCAGTTACGATGGATGCAGTCAGGGAAAAGGACATGTTAAGATATAAGATATAAAAATAGTAATGCTCATTCTCTGCATACAGCAAAACAGAGTGCTGTGTGTATGTATCATGTTGGTCCAAAAGAGTTATCAGGTGTTTAGGAGAATTGATTGCCTATCTGCATGCTCGGGCTCTGTCTGTCACTGCTGTCACTGGCTATCAAAACAGCTCTCCTGCCTTTGTGCCCCCAGCTGTTCCCCTTTCACATCCACCTGCATTTCCAGGAATTCCCCAAGCTGGTTTTGCCAGTCAGCTGCAGCTGGAGTTCAGGCTGTCTCTCGCACAGCACAGATTGTATGTTTAATGCTCATGACTCAGCCTGTATTTTATTCATTAGGGAAAAGTGCATGCCACCTATGGCACAAAAACACTTTATAGGTTGGAAAGAGAGAGATGCAAATGTGTGTGCCCAAAAGTAAGCATATGAAAAGCCTTTAAAAGCTGAAATATTAATATGTCTTTGTAATTGTATAGAGGCAAATGAAAATGCTGCAGGCTTTCTCTAAGTCTCCCCATTTGATAGGTTCTGCACACACTAATCTTTGTCACTTGTGTAATACATCATTTTATAATCTATTGCATAAGGAGAGACCTCCACAAATAAAGGGAGGACATGCCTATCTTTGCCCCCACAAATGTGTGATTGTGGTACAAACTATTTTCAGTGAAACTGTAGTGTATATATTTCTGGTTAGCTTTTTCACCACAAGCGCCAGCAACCATTCTAGATCATAAACTGAGTAATAATTCCTTCAGAAAGAATTCTTTCTGGTATTGATCTTAAAAAATATTTCTATTTTGAAAAGAGCAGCTCTGCATTGGCAGGTAAAAAGCTGACTGGACTAATACTAGTTTCCCATCTTGACCACTCTACTTTTCTACAATTCATTTTTGCAAGTGAAAAATTTGACTTTTGACATTGAAGTCTTAAATCACATTTTTTTAGTATTTCTTGCACAGTTATATAATTTAGTGTTGTTCACTTGCAAATTATGCTTCCTTCTAAACACCAGTGTGACTGCCCCTACACTCAAGAGATTTATGTATCTTTAAATATATAATTTGGTTGCTTTAGTTGCCTTGGGAGTAAGAAGACAATGTGGGTAAAATTTCTAAGCAGCTGACATGAGGCTTCTGTGAGAAACCACGGCGTGCCATTTGTCAGGGTTCATTTTTTCCCCTCATGTAAAAGTGGGCACAGGGAGAACTGTATTTACGTTGCTTTTTTGTGTGTTTTATTCCAGGCAAAACTTGCATTCCAGAAGGACATGATTAAGCCGCTGGCACCTGCTTTCCTTTCATCTCCTCTTGCTGCGGCTGCAGCTGTATCGTCGGCTCTGTCCCTTCCTCCCCGTCCCTCTGCCTCCTTGTTCCAGGCACCTGCAATACCACCAGCTCTCCTCAGGCCCAGCCACGGTCCCATCCGTGCAACACCTGCCTCCATACTTTTTGCACCATACTAATTTGTTGATGTGAAAAAGAGATAACTATGGCCAGTAGAAAGGGTAAAAGAAAAGCAGGAAGGGGGTCGAGATTTTTAAATGTCTTTCTCTTTTGAAATGCCATCCAGCATGACATCTCAACCACCCACACCATAAAATTCATCATTGAGGGTACTGCATTTTGGAGTCTAGACAACTCTCTCAGTCTCTCTGTCTCTCCTTTTTTAATTCAAATAGAGAGTGATTTACTAAAAACTTAATTGCTCATAAAATTTATACCATTAAAGATTCATGCATCTATTAATTTTTTTTTTTTTTTGCAATGTATATGATGCACCTTGGAATCAAGGAACATAAAATATTTTCCTGACAGACTTGAAAACTAGGGTCTTCCTTGCTCACACTTCTGTAAATACTTCCCTGAAAACCAATGGGGTAAAATCTAATGTGGAAAAAAAGGTAGATGAACCAAATGCTTGATTGTGGATAACATCTCAAAAATGAATTGCGTCCTTTTTTTCTTTTTTTTTCAGTGTGCTCTTGTTGACAGGGATTGTGTACTGTCCTAGGCCCCAGTACTCGTGTATCTTGTGCAGTACTAAAGATGTATCACATGTCTGATTTCAATATTTTTAGTTTCTGTGCAAATGTTTGAAAGCAATGCAGCGCTGAAGCTTTTAATTATTTCTTTTGTGTCACACTTTATTTAGAGAAATTAAAAATAGAAAGCCATATAACATATAGTTAAGATTACTACTTGTTTGCTACTTCCATTTAACTTATTTTTGTTGTTTCCTTACTGGTGTTGCTAAGCAATGTTTAAAGAGAAAAAAAAGCTTTTCAATTGCACATTATCACAGCTCACATGCATTGTTCAAGATGACAATGCATCCATGTATTGGTACGTAAATATCCTTTTTCTTCATTTCTAACTAGGTTCCTTTGTAACGATGCTGCATAACGTTGTGGCTCCTTAATGCAATAATGTACAGAACATAAAATATTTATAATTGACCGTATTCTCTGTTTACTGAATATATTGCAGTAATGCCCCACCTATCTTCTTACCTCCCCAACCCTTTTATAAAGGTGATATCAATATGCAGACTGAAGTCATTATGTGATAATGGGGACAACAGGTGGAAGAAAGGAAAAAAAAAATAGGATTAACTTTTAGAGCATCTTTATCTGCAATCCATAATAGTAAAATGTCTGTGTATTTTTTTAAATGTACCTTTTCAATAAAATGATAAGAAAAATAGACATGCTTCTTGTGTTTATCAATTGGTACAGAAAAAAAAAAAAGCCTGGAACAAACAAATTTAGCTAAAGGAGTCTTCAGGAGCAGGCAAAGCATTAGAGTTGCAATAAAGTATAATTACAGAACCTGTGTTTACTTCCCTTGTGTTTTAACATCTTCCTTGCTACATCCTGTTACAGCCTTTACTGGAGCTTTTTTGCAGTAAGACTGTAAACATTCACTACATGGGAGATTCAGAGGAAGACGCAGTAGAGCCAGGTGGGTGATTATGGGTTTATTATTGCACCGCCAAAATGCTACAACACGGTTATGCCATCTCTGATGGAGGTTAAGGATTAACTTTAAAACCAGCCTGGGCATACCTGAGACTGGAAGCAGGTCACTTTGGAGCCAGGACTTGCTCTGAAGCATGGGCAAAACAGGCAGCTGCTTGATGCAGCAGGCTTTTGAAGGCAGGTGTTTGGGGAAGCTTTGAAATGATCTTTTTCCCTGCTGAAAAGCTTGATCTGTTCTGTAAAAATCTTTTCTTTGTTAATACAAAGTGAAAAGTAAAGAGTGCAAGAGTAAAAAGACTCAACTGTAAGGCTGTTAGGGGTAATACAAAGCCAATAGGGCCATTACAAATCCACAAAGGCCAAGGAATAAAAATTTCAGGAACTTTATTATAAAGAATTTACAGACCAACATATACCTCATAGTTGCAACATATTAGAGACCATTTTCTGCAAGTGTAATTCGGCCCAATTTCCACTATTCAGTGGAGCAGTCAGCTGTGTTGTGAGAGGATAATTTGCTGGAGAATCACCTACAAAGGGGTAGGTAAGGGGGCTTGCAGCATCCTCTGGGGAAACCAGTACAGTTGTATGAATCCTGTGGACTGTGAGACAAGGTGGTGCGGGTGGGCGCTCTTCCATGTGCATCTGTTGGTGTCTGATTGTGTAACTCATGCTTGTAGGGAGTCAGGTTTAACCGCTTACCTACTTTCAGAGGAGTTACTTGCATAGGAAGCCTGTTCTGTCCAACATGAGATAGGTTTAAAGAACTGTGTGTTTTAATTGGTTCTTCAGTAAACAAGAGTTGCCTATGTATTAAAACACTGTTTTACCTGCTTTTTATAACCTACTGTTGGTGATGAGAAATTTAAAGCAATTACAAGTTTCTGCAATTGAAAATGTTCCCATATAAAATACAGAAAACCTGTACTAAGGAAGGGACCGGCCAGGGGTGTGTAGGTTTCTTGGACAGCTGGTTATTTCAAAGAGCAGCTTACGCTGGAGAAATATTTAGGTCGCTAAGAGAGAAAGAATGTGTCATGTCATTCAGCAACGAGAGGAATTACTTAACCTGTGAAACACAAGGAGCTAAAAGATTATGATTGTAAGCCAAGGAAGACTCATGTTCAGATTCAAATTCAACACCCTTTGTACTCTTTGCTGTGTTAACTTATATTTTGTGTACTGTAGCTCCGCTTGCCACCAAAGTTTTGTCCATGACATGCAGGACTGAGCATTTAAGATAATAATTACATGATAAATGGCAAACACTCTCATTATGCCTACTGGGATCTCACATTCTAGAAACGAGCTCTGCATGAGAAGAAAAATTTGTATCATACTTGTACAAAGGCTATCGGCTGCTTTTTTGATATGTTAGGATGTTTTCTCCTGAGGTCTAATATCATTAAAGACAGCTGGTTATGAAATTCATGGATTTGTTATAACAAAGAACTAGTACTGAAATATAATATTTGCAATGCAGTTAACATTTTGAATAAATATATTGAATGTGCAAACCACTAAGGTAGTAAGGTTAAAGTAGTAGGATCACATCCTCTCATGTGTCTGTTATTCTAGGTCTGTTCACTGCACTCTGAGCTGCAAGTTGGTCCTGGACAAGAAGTCAAAAGTTATAAGGGGCACTGTGTTGGTCGGGGATTGTCACCTGGCACTGCCATCTTTCTGTAGCAGAAGAGGAAGGATCCAGACCGGACAGAGACACA